CCAGGGGACCTGGCCAGCAGAGTCAGCTGGCAGAGCAGCCAAGGAGGAAAGCCCAGAACCTTCCCCAAAGGCGGTCAGGCCTGCCGTGCTGGCCTGCAGAGAAGCTGAGGGTGGGGCGCGTGAGGGGCTGTCCCGTCCCCCGTCCACAAAAAAAACAAAGGAAAAGAAACCAAACCAGGACATTTCACGCCAGGCCGCCCGCCCGACACCGGGCCTGGGGCTTCCCTGGTCATCCATGAAAAGCTCTCCGCTGGGGTCGGGCTCCCGGTCCTGATGGTGACCATCGGAGGGGCCGAGCCTCTCCCTGGACCCCGGCACCCCCCGGGGTTCTGAGCAGGGGCTGTGCTTGCGCCCCTGTCCTGGTGGGTGCTATCGCCAACACTGCCGTTGTCTGCTGTGGGTTTTTATTCGTTGGTTTCGGAAGTTGATCTCCAGGCCTTTCCTCCGGGAAAACTCCACAGAAACCTGCTCGGCAGCATAGCAATCCGTTAGCCTCCACGACAGGCAGCAGGAGCTGCCCCCCCAAGGGCACGGGCTAGGAATCAAAACCCCGGGACCCTCCTGGAAGGGACGGCATTCTACCAGGGAACTTCTTCCCCTCTGTGTTAACCGCTTGCTGCCAAGTAGACCCCTAGCCTCCCTGCAGGGCACAGAAGCCACCTGCCACATGGCACTCCCACAGAGCACCTTCCAGTTAGGGATGCTTTCCCAGCTGTGGGTGGAGTCTGCCAATGCAAATGCTAAAGGTTCCCCGCCGGGGATCAAACTGGAACCGAGTCTGAGAAGGGTAGACGAGAGGGCAAACTTCAGCCCGTTGGACTGGACTAAGTTCTGGCTCTACCACGCACCAACCATGCATCCTCAGATAAACGGCTTAATCCCCCGGTGCCTCACCCTCCTCGCCTGTGGAACAGGCCCAGGGACACTGGTGGGGTCCTGGGTTATGGGTCACGCTGTTAGCCGCAAAGCCAGCCGTGCCAAGCTACCAGGCACTTCGTTGGAGGCTCTCTGCTCCTAGAAAGTTCCAGCCGCAGAAGCCCACTCGCTGGGGCAGTGCCACTCGGCCCCATGGGGTCTCTGTAGGGCAGCATGCGCTCGATGCCAGGGAGTTTGAGTTTTTTAGTTTCTTGGGGGTTTTGTTCGTTTTTCTGATTCAGGTTCACAAACTTTCATCTGCAATTTCAAATTTTAAAAAAAGCGTACATTGCTGGCAAGCTAAACTTGATACAAGCCTTGACTCGAGCTAGTGGGAGTTTTTCGTAGTCTTTCTGTGTATCACTTGGTGTGAAAATTATGTTAAAAGTAGCGATTCGCAGCGGAAGCCCGGGTGTGGCTGTAGCCAGGGCGCAGCAGGCCGGTGCCGGGGAGGAAAGGGCTGGCCAACCAGAAGGCCCAGCGGCCCGGGGTGCTGGGGTGCTTGCAACAAGCTTACAGCAATGTAGCCAGCCAGGTTGGAGCCTCCTTCTTCCCCAAAAAGAATCAGGATCTCTAGAACTTTCAAAGAGTAAAACAAACAATAATATTCTTTAAAAAAAAAAACTTGTCAATACCCCAGAGGAAATCAAACTCCTCTAGGGCTGGTGTAGCCCACAGGCTGCCCTGCCCAAAGCTGAACCAAACCTGCTGCCGCAGCGTGCCTTAGGAAGACTCCAGGGACCCCACGGGCTGCCTGCAGAACTGTCCCGCGGGGCTGTCTTGCTGTCACCTTTATGACGCATCACCAGGACTTTCTTCTGTGGCACCCCTGGGTGGGTTTGGACTCCCACCACCACCACCACCACTTGATTGGTAGCAAGCTGATTAGAGCAAAGTGTTTGCGCGCGAGCACACACCCACACCCAGGGTCCTGATGGGTTACTGACTCTGTCCACAGGGTAGTGAGAATCATCCTGGCTATTGGGAGGGGAGAGGGTGTAGATTGAGCTCTGAGGGGTCTCACCACGACCACTCCTCAGGGCAGGCAGAGTCAAATGTGAGGGCCACTGGTGGGGGTGAAGAGATGGGGGCTCGGTGGAGGTGATGATAGATAATCAGTGTTTAGACGGCCCTTCCAACCCAGAGCGATGGCTGGCTTCCCGGGTCCAGAACCTAGACCCCCGGGGCTCCAGGGGAACTGGCAGGGAAATGAAGGGACTTTAGGAAGCCTCGTTCCCAGGTGTGCCTGTGGATGTCGGAAGAGGGACACCACCGAGTGAGACCTCTGTCCCTCGTGTTGACCCCCCCACCCCCACCCGTCTCAGGCCTACGTGGCAGGGACTCTAGAAAGAACGGGGTGGGAGTCAGCGGGATTGGCGGGGAGGTCAGAGACCCCTGTGAGGTCCCAGGGAGGGCAAGGGCAGGGTGTGCCCAGTGAGCAAGGAGCTGCTTCAGGAAGCCAAGGTTATAGATTACACCTTTGAGCCAAAGTCGAAGAGGAGGGCTCGGGGAAAGTGGCAGCTTCACTTCACAGATGAGGAAACGGGGCCCAGAGAGGCTGCATGGGTGACTTATGAAGGTCACACAAGGAGTTTGTGGCTGGGTCTCCCCACGCCAAGTGCTTTCCCTCTGGTCAGGGTGGCTCCTAAGGAACCTGCGGGACTGAGTGAGGCCTGGGGCTGGCCATCACAGCCTTCCCGGGAGGCCCCGTTGGCAGAACGCAAGCTCTGGGGCTGGGCAGCCTGGACTAGAGTCCTGCCCGCCGCTGACTGGCCATGTGGGCTCAGGAAGGCTCCTCGACATCTCTCAGCCTCCCCATCTGTGCAACGGGGAAGAACACAGTGCACCTCGACGGTGGGGCCCCGGGGAGAACTGAGAGAGCCCGCTGTGGTCTGAAACGCCGGGGAAGGGTAACAAGGTGCTGTGGGGAGGTGGCGGGGGGCTGTCATGGTGACAGGCTGGGATGGACATGGTGGTGGTGGTCGTCGTGTTGTGGGGACGGTGTGTTGATGTAATGGTGATGATGACGTCGAGATGTGATCATGGAGGTGACAGGGATGGGGACGGACAAAGAGGGGGCAGGGTGTGTGTTCGAGGAGGCATGACAAACAGGTACCTGGAGGGAGGCAGAAGGCCTGGGGTGTGAAGGCCACCTTTCCTGTCATTGGTTGCCTTTTCCTGGCCACCCCAGGTCCAGCACTGTGAAATGCGGCCGTCTCCGTGGCGAGCAGAGTGGGAGGTGGGGGTGGACAGGCCGTTGCTCAGGCCGTGGGTGCTGGGAGCCAGGGAGAAGGCCCCACTTCCTGACCCTCCTCTCTCCCCTGTGCAGTCATTTCCTGCCTCGGTGATGTCGGGGATGTCGGCAGGACGGGCTCAGGTAAGGGGAGCTCGGGGGCACCTGAGAAGGGGAGACCTGGGGGAGAGGGGAGGGGAGTCCAAGTGGGTTCCAGCAGGCTGCAGGGGACCTGCGGGCTTGTCACACCCACTAAAGAGAACCCCCCACGCAGAGACAGACAGACAGACACACACGTCTAAAGCCCACCCCGTGGTCATTATCCCCATGACACACGCTGCCCCTCAAGGCCCCTGTTCATCGGCCCGAATCAAAGAAGTGTCCAGCCGAGGCTGCAGAGAGAAGCTGCAACTGACGGGAAAGTGCCAGACAGAGGGCCAGCCTCGGGGGGCTCGTGTTTCCCAAACCGGGCTCATTGGACGAAGGTCAGCCACACCACTGTTGGGATCAACACCGCAGAGAAAGCTCTGAGCTGCCCTGAAGGGAGAAACCCGCTAAGGCGTTGCTCACCCACTTGCGCCACTGGCCTCTTTTCGCCTGGCCTGTGGGGAAGGGTGGCTGCCCCGTCACGAGCCACCGTGTCATCAGAGTGGCCACAGGGGCCTGAGGCGGGGCCCTGGAGACCCACTGCCCTCCTAGCCTCCTGCACGGCCTCCTGACCCTGCGCTTGCTCATCTGGAAAGTGGGCATGAGTTCTCTTCCCTGGTGAGGTGTTCGATTTGGATCCGTCAGGCTGTCGTGGACGATTGTTGTAAGCAGATGGCCAGGCCTGTCTTGCTAGTCCCTTCTTCGTCCTAGAAAGACCCCTGAAGCCCATCCGACACGGGCATCACCGCTTCCAGCGTCACAGCAACCCTCCAGCCTCCACAGGACGACAGACTGGCAGGTGTCAGGAGCTGGGATCACTCACTTTGCCGCTGACTCGTCGAATGACCCCGGCAAGTCCCAGCCCTGCGCCCTGGCCCCAGAGTGTCCACGTCACGGGGAGAAGACCGCCACCGGACCACTGGCTCCCAGCGAGAGAACCGCCTCAGAGCCCCCTCAAAACACAAAACCAGCCCCGCTTAATTGCTTGAATCGGCCAAACCTCCCCTGGCTAAACTCTCTAAAGCTATTGCGAGATGTGCGTTCTCAGCCAATTCCAGCTTTGAACCCCATTTATCCAGTCGCCCCCGCCGCCGGCCGTCACCCAGTAAACAGCATCCACGGTCTCGCGATGTGAACACGAGCAAACGCGTATCTGCATGCTCTGCTCCACGGAGCCTGCTCAAATCACAGCCACTCAAGAGCTCACCATCCGCCATTGGGTTCCGAATCGCTGAGACCCTACAGGACAGGGTAGGCTGTCCCTATGGGATGCCGAAACGGTAACTCTTTACGGGAGTGGAAAGCCTCATCTTTCCTCTGAGAGCGACTGGTGGTTTTGAACTGCTGACCTTGAGGTCAGCAGCCCAATGTGTAACCACTAGGCCACCAGGGCTCCTTCACAAGCCACAGTCCCCCTCCCCCTAAGCCCCAATGTCAAGTTGATGTCGACTCTCGGCCACCCTAGGAGTAGAACTGCCGAACATCGTACCGGGAGCTGACGGCCTTGCCTTTCTCCCAAGGAGCGGCTGGTGAGTTTGAACCGCCAACTTGGTGGTTAGCAGGCTGACATCGACCGGACAGCACCAGCAACTTTAAAGTGAAAACGACCCCCCGGGTACCTGTGGTAGAGTCAGGCGATGGAATAGTATCCAGCGGTTAAGAAAGAAGGATTTGTTGGCAGGGTAGAAGCCTCAGGGCAGGCGACATGTTGGGCACTGCAGGACAAAGGAGAGATAAGCCAGGTACACGGCACGTGCATATATGCCTGGGACTGGGCAATAAGGAAGGCAGGCCGGGGGAGAAGGGCACCTCTGAGCGGCGGCGTTGACCACGAGGACTGCGAAGGCCAAGACAACTTCCAGGAGGACAAACAGATGTGTCTCGAGGGAAGTTGGGCCCGAATGCTCCTTAGAAACCAGGGCGGAGGCAGCGGCGGCGGGGACTGGAGGCATCATCGGGCAACACCTACCACTTGCAAAGCACATGGTGTTTGGGCACGGGGCCTGGAGAAAATGAGAGCGGCCCTCCACAGCGGCGGTCAGTCGTACATCGACCAGGAGCTGCCCCAACAGTGGCCCAGCCAGACGGAGACTGTGAGGCTGTCCCAGGACCGTCTGCTGGAGGGGAGGTTTCCAGGGGGTGACCTGAGGGCAAACACACACCAACAACACTCGCTGCGGTTCCGCTAGGTGGCGATCTACAACACTGACCTCTCCTGACAGACAGCAGAGTCGAGGTCACCTGGGGCGCTGGGGCGGCAGGGGACTTCCCGGGGGCCCAGCAGCGGTCTACGTCTAGATTGTGGCCATGGTGACTGCGTACATACGTGCACACATTTGTCCCAGTCGGTTCAACCGTAGCCTCCAGCTGACTGCACTTCATGGGAAGTCTATTGCACCTCTGTCACATTCATTCGAGATGTTAACAAGGGTTTTTAAAGGCCAGGCAGGAGGGAGAGCCCATCTTGGATTTACTAGAGCTGAATGGGCAGGGCCCAGGGCCCGGGGTGGTTCTGCTGGGCACTGGGTGCTAAGAATCTTTCTTGACCCTCTGCTCCGAGTCTCCCTCTGGCTCTGAAATCGGGTTGGGTACCTCTGAGCGGCGGCGTTGACCACCCACCCACCCCAGTCTGACTGCCCCTCACTCTGTCCCCCTTCCTCCCCAGAGATCCCGGTGAGGCTGAGCAATTATTACTCTCACTCGCGGTGCCAGGGCCAGCTGGAGGTCTACCCCTGGGACCGGTGGTCCTCCGTGTGTCACCTGAGCTGGGGCAACAGGTGGAGCTCCCAGGAGAACCCTCCCTGGCAGGCCGAGTTCTGCCGGAAACTGGGCTGCGGAAGGCCCTTGAAGCTCGCCATCTTGGATCCTTTCAGCAGCCCCTTGAACCAGATCATCTGCCACGGAGACCCAGGGTCCTTCGTCAACTGCAGTATCCACATGGCTGGCTCATGCCCCCCTCTGAACCTCTTCTGCGTAGGTGGGTACTAGCTAATCTCACCCAGGACCCTCGACCTGGGTGGCCAGTCAAGGTCCCCAGAGGGGAACATGGAGAGAGGTGGCTGATGGGGTGTGGGACAAAAAGACGGAACTGCTATCCTCTGCACCACTTTCTCGTCGGTGAATAGGGTGGGTCAGGCACTGCTGGGAGACATACACAGGTGACGTCGGGGCTGGTGGGCTCAATGTGGAACCTGCCCAGTGAGCACTGAGTCTCTGTGCCCCACCTGGAGTCACCCCCCACCCCAACCCAACCCCCGCCTCCCTCCCTGGGCCTCTTGACCCTCTCTCACCAGAGGGTCTCCTTTCAGAGCCCCGGAAGAGCACCGCTGCCCCCACCAGGCCACCACCCACCACCACTCCGAAGCCCACAGGTAAGAAAACCCGGAGACCCCACGGGACAGAGCTGTCAGATTTAGTGAGTCGTAACACTAGACACCAACCCATCCAACGTGAGTTTCGGATAAACAAGGGGCATCTTTTTGTATCAGATGGCCCCTGCAAGCTCCCTGGGCTGTCACACAATGGGCACTCTCAACTACTTACCTAAAGGTTGTCGGTTCGAGCCCAGCGGTGGCACGTTGGAGGAAAGGTCTGGCAGTCTGCTTCCATCAGGAAGGCAGCTCAGAAAGCCCCTGCAGCCCACTCTGTGGCGAATGGGGTCGCCAGGTGGGACCTGCAGCCCACTCTGTGGCGAATGGGGTCGCCAGGTGGGAGTCAGCATCCACCCGCAGCAGCGGTTCCCTTGTTTGGAAATGTATTTCCAGTGTGATGTTTGGCACCTCCCTGCGATGGGCAACTCCCTCCTTCCCTCCCAAGGTTCAGGGGCCCAGCAGCATGGGGTGTGGGTGGGGGGTGTTTAGGCAGGCAAGTATGTGCTGCGGTGCCCCACCACCCTGAGGCCCACCTGCCCCTCTCCCTCCCTCTCGGCCAGCGCCCCCCAGGCTACAGCTGAGTGCCAGGCGAGGAGGCCTACACTGTGCCGGGGAGGTGGAGTTCCACCAGGGCAGCCAGGGCGGCAAGGTCGAGGACCAGGACCTGACCCAGGAGCTGGGGGATCACATCTGCAGTGCCCTCCAGTGTGGCTCCTTCCTGAGGCGTCTGCAGGACAGGGCGCCGCACCCGGAGGAGCCCGGGCCCTCGCTGCCTCTGCGGTGGAAGCTACAGCACAACGTCAGCTGCGCGGACCTACAGCAGTGCTTCCAGACACGCCAGCCGGAGGCCGGGGGCCGGGCTCTCGCCGTCCTCTGCTCAGGTGAGTCCCCACATCCCCACCGGTGCCAGCCACTGCTAGCTTCCTGCCGGAGAGAGGGGAGACCATGGCCTGACCCCAGTGCACGCTGCACCTCAGAGACACCCCCACGCCCCCCACGGGCATCGACACTGAAGGAGCCCAGCAGGGCTGCGGGGAGGGGGCAAGGAGAAGAGCAAGCGGGGCTCGGGTCTGGGGGGGGCCGTGAGAAGCCGCTCTTGGATGCCAAGGGTCAGAGTGGGCTGGAGGATGGCAGGTGCATGGGGTAGGTGGCAGGGCGGGAGTCTCGTAGTTGTGCTGGTGCTCGGTGCCATCCTGCTGGTCGTCAGAGGAAGGCTCCGCTGGCACCACAGCGCTGGGTTTTCAGTGGCTGGTGTGTTTCAGGCGTTTGCCAGGACTTTCTTGCAAGGCATCTCTGGGTGGGTTCAAACTTCCAACCTTCGGGTTCATAGTCAGATTTGCGCCACCCAGGGAGGCCTGTCCAGATGGTCAGGAATGACAGTTACTGTAACCAATGATTCAACACTGTGTGTAAGGGCAGCAGAGATGGGGGTGAGGGGGAGCAGGCAGCATTTCCACGTGTTGCTTTTATTTCACTTCCACGGCATATCCTTATGAAGTCAGGTGACATTAGCGCTCCATCTCCCCGAGGAGGAAGCTGAGGCAGCGAAGGTCAATTCTCTGCACAGTGTCCCGGAGCACTGAGAGGGGTCTCTGCTGAAGCACGACGCGCCCACTGCCCAGGGCCACTGAGTCGGAATCAACTCTCGGGCAGCTCTGTCCGGGTCACTCGGCTGTCCTGTAGGCAGAGCTGCCTGCAGCCTGTGGGGTACCCTGTGTGAACTACTGAACAGCGCCCCCTCCCCCAGGTATCCAGGGGGTAGGGTAGGGGCAGTTTTCAGCCCTCCTCTCTCCTCAGCCGGGTCTGGCCTTTGGTTTCCTCTAAGCATAAACAGATCAGCTAGAGACGTTGCTATGGAAACTGGCCAGAACTGATGTGACCACACCCCTCTCAGCTGAGTGTGAGGGGAGAGGTGGCTTCAGCTAGGCTGGACGTCCTGGAAGAGATCCAGCCCTGAAGCAAAGGGGACAGTCCACCGACAGGCTGCTCCGGTGGTGAAGCCTGAGTAGCAGGGCTCAGAGCAGGCCATGCCTCCCCTGCCTGGCCTCTTGCCCTGCTTTGAAAGCCCCCCCCCTCTTCCCCCAAGCTCTTTCTAAGCAGAGGGAGACCAGGTAGAGCTCCTCTCTGGCTGACCCCTCCCCACACCTGATTGACACTGCACACAGGCACCAGCCCACTGCCAGCTTCCTCTGCCGGCTGCCCAGAGGGAACATGCCAGAAGGGTGCCAGGCAGGAGGCAGGGGCAAGAGGAAGGCAGACAGCCTAGTCCTATGTTCCCAAGTCCCCCGTGACATCTGCTCAAGGGGAACTGGCCCTGGCTCCCGCCTCACCAGCAAGCAGCGCAGGAGGCTCGGGCTCAGCCACCCACTCCTCTTGGTGCTTCTCCTCTCCAGACTTCCAGCCCAAGGTGCAGAGCCGCCTGGTGGAGGGCCACAGCCTGTGTGAAGGCGTGGTGGAGGTGCGCCAGGGAGGGCGGTGGGCAGCCCTGTGCCACAACAGCACGGCCACGGCGGCGAGGTGGAACGAGGTCTGCCAGGAGCAGCAGTGTGGCAGCGTCGTCACCTATGGGAAGCTGGAGGCTGGCAAGACAGCCTCCCCAGGGCTCTCGTGTCCCCAGGAGAAGCTGTCCCAGTGCCATCAGCTTCAGAAGAGCCCCCTCTGCAAAAGGGTGTTTGTCACATGTGAGTTGGGCCAGCATGGGGGTGGGGGTGGGGACAGAGCTGGCCTTTCCCTGGCTCTCAAACGCAGGTGCCAGGAGCTGGACTCAATGTTCCAGAGGCCCAGGAAAAGATGGGGGTGGCAGGGAGGGTGGGAGTGCCCAGACAACAGTGGACATGAGCAATGGAGACTGAACCAACCAGCCTAGAACCAACTAGGGATAGACAGGAGTTAAGTGGACAGATGGATGGATAGAGAATGGGCGCATGTATGGATATGTAAGTGGATGGTGGATGCTGGATAGATGGATGGATGGATGGATGGATGGATGGATGGATGGATGGATGGATGGATAGAGAATGGGTGGATAGATGGAAGATGGATCAATGGATAGAGAATGGGTAGATAGATGTATATGTAGGTGAATGGTGTATGATGGATAGCAAATGGGAGAATGAAGGATGGACAGATGGAGGATGAACAAATGAATGAGTGGCGAGTAGATGAAGGATGGATGGATGGAGGCTGAATAAATGAATGAATGAATAGAGATGATGAATGAATGAGTGGAGAGAGATGAAGGGTGGATGTACAATGGATGGATGGATGATTAATGAATGAATGGAGAATAGATGAAGGGTGGATGTACCATGGATGAATGGATGATGAATGAGTGAGTGGAGATATACAGATGGATGGATGGATGGATGGATGGATGGATGGATGGATGGATGGATGGATGATGGATGGATGGAAGGGTGGATATACAGATGGATGGATGGATGGATGGATGGATGATGAGTAAATGAATGAGTGGAGAGAGATGAAGGGTGGATGAATGGGTGGCTGACTAGATGGATGGAGAACAGTAGATGGAAGGACATGGAGGTGGATGTGATCCATCTACTGGAATATAATCATACTGGACATGACAACAAGGTATGAAGGTATAAGTAACTGGCAAACGGTATAAAAGTGCCCCAAGATTGACAAGTGATAGCTGGATGGCCAACCATCCAGTGACCACAGGAGAAAGGACACATAAGGAGGGACAGGCCCATCAGTGACTGCCTTCCACACATGCTGATGGAGGGAGGGAGGGAGGGAGGCATTCTGGGGGATACACTGAAGGGAGTATCCACGCCCTTGGGACAGGGGCTGACTGGACCCTTCTCCTCCCCAGGCCAGCACCATCACCCAGCGGGCCTGGGCGCCGGCACCGTGGCCAGCATCATCCTGGCCCTTATGCTCCTGGCTCTGCTCCTGATCATGTGCGGCCCTCTCGCCTACAAGAAGCTGGTGAAGAAATGTAGGTGTTGGTGCCCTGAACCACACCTCCGCCATGGCCCTGCCCTCTGTGGACAGACTTGAGGGGCTGCCTGTCAGCCCCATGGAGGAGAGTCCCTTCCCCCACCTCACCCCCGAGAACTCCACCACCTGACCTTTCTCGGACCAAAGGGAGGACAGGAAACAAGAGGGACCCTAGACTTTTATTGCTCACCGGATCTGGGGCCCAGCCGAGACCTGCTGGGGACCTGGGTGGCCCTGAGGGTCATTGTGCGGCCCCCAAAGTCAGGGGACACATGTCCAGCCTGGCTCGACCACTTACAGGATGCACAAGATGGTGGCTGACCCCTCCTCTCCCTGAGCCCCCATTTCCCCACCTGCCAAACAGCCGATGGCACACCTTGTAGAACGGGCAGGTGGTTTGCTATGCTTCCCTTGCAGGAGGCAGGGGACATGGTTCAGGGACAAGGCAGGGGGACTCGGAGCTGAAGAGCGAGGGCCCGGAGGTGGGCAGTGGGGTGGTGGTGGTCCCAGCGGCCTTTGCAGAGCTTCCTTCTAGACCCCTGCAACCCCACCTCCTCGGGGCCCCCACTAGTGTCCATACCTTGATGGCTGGGTAACTCTACTTGAACCTCCTGAGCAAGTTAGGAAACTGAGGCAGTCTGAGGCCACAAGGGGTGGATCCCAATCGCCACCCCCCTCCCCTAGAACCTAATACTTCCTTCCCCTAAGCTGCCTCTCCCGTCTGTCCCCCGCAGTCCGTCAGAAGCAGCAGCGGCAGTGGATTGGCCCAACAGGGGTGAACCAGAGCAGTAAGTGTCCCCTGGGGACGTCCCACCTGTGTCCACAGGGCCCGGAAGGAGGTGGCTGCCACAGACGGCACCACAGGCTGCTGGTGGCCTCAGACCTCCCCCACATTGTCCAAGGTGTGACTGTGGTCAATACAAGTCCCCACACCCGGGGGCCGGAGGCCTCTTGCGGAGAAGTGGTTTTTGGGGTTTCTGCCTCAGAGACCAAGTCTCCACTGCTTCGCACCTGGTCGCCGAGGCTGCCTTACCCAGAGGACCCTGCAGCCTCTGCCTCCTCAGGCCGCACCCCCTAAAAACAGCAGCAGACCAAACCCAGGAGACTCAATGAAAGAAAATCTCGTGAGCCAGGGTATGTGGGAAATAATGAGTTCACCCACGCTAAACAAGGTTCTTCGTGTCAGGACTTAGCGGGACTCCCCTATAAGGAGCGTTTTCACAGAAGCTGATCCATGTGAGGCTGCTAACCTCAAGTTCGGCGGTTCAAAATCACCAGCCAGCTCCTTGGGGAAGAGACAAGACTTTCTACTCCTGCAATGAGTGACAGTCTCAGAAAGCCCCGGGGGCAGTTCTACCCTGTCCTGTAGGGTGGCTGTGAGTGGGGTGGGTTCACAAGGGGTGGCGATGGGTTTTCTCGTAGACAGCTTCAAAAGGCCTGTCTCAGGACAGGTGGCACCAGCCCACCTGCCCTGCCCTGCCCCCTCTCGCCTCCCGGTCAGAGGCCCAGCCCCCTTCCAGCGTCCCAGGCCACCTTCACGCCCCCTGGAGGGTTCAGGACCAAATCCCTCTTCTGTAGAACAAAGGCTGTGAGTGTTGGGGGGCGGGGGGGGCACGCATCCTGCGCCTTGAGGTCCAGCTCCTGCTGACGTGTTTGTTTGGTGGCTGACTCCTTAACCATTGGAAGGCCCACCCTGTAAACCCGACGGCTGGCCAGCCCCCGTTTCTCCCCAGCCTGCTGCTGGCCCTGCTGGGTCCAGAGGAGAGGGGATGCGTGGAAGGAGGTGTGGAGGCCGCCTCCCTCCACCCCCTGCCAGGTGGCACAGTGGGAGCAGGAGACCGAAGGTCAGGGGCGTCTGCTGGGGAAGGAAGTGAGAGAAGTGAGTTTAATGGCACGACCCCTGTATTTGCCTAGTGTCTTTCCATCGCAACCACACGGCTACCGTCCGGTCTCGGGCTGAGAACCCCGCAGCCTCACACGTGGATAATGAATACAGCCAGCCCCCCAGGAGCTCCATCTCTGCTTACCCGGGTGAGCAGTAGCCGGGGGACCCCCAGAAGCAGGCAGCACTGCGGCCAGTGGGGAGAAGGGGGAGGGAGGATTGGAAGGTCCAGGGGAGGGGGATGAAGCTGCCCTTCTTGGCCACAGGTACTGGTGAGGGGGGAGCAAGGGCGAGGGATACAGCCTTCAGTGACCCACTCATCTGCAAAGGAGACCCGGCCCCAAAGCCATTAACATCTCCACCCCACCCCCACTCGCTCCCCACCCCCATGGCTGGACCCCTGGGGTTTCAAGGCGCCAAGAAGGGTTTTTTGGTAGCCCGTCCCTCACAGGCACCAACAGCCCAAGCCCAGGGAATCTGGAAATCAGCCTTTTTAGTGAGCCTTACAGGAGCCCAGGTGGGGTGGTGGTTACACCTTAGCCTGCTCATCACAAGGTCAGCAGCTCGAAACCAGGTACTCCTCGGGAAACAGGTGGGGCTTTCTACTCCCATAAAGAGCTGTGGCCTTGGAAACGTACAGGGCCAGTTCTACCCTTTCCGATAGGGTCGCTGTGAGTCGGCATCGACTCAGTGTCTGTTTTGAGTGAGCACTTAGCAAATTCCATCAAAACTGATAGAGACATCACCAGTCTGAAACCCCTAAGACTGTGTGATCTGCTGCGAGATCCTGGGACCCTGTGTGGCCCCAGGCTCTGAAGAGGACCCCCTTTCTCTCCCCAGCTCTGGAAGGGGCCCTGCACGCATCTTCTGCCCAGCCCGACAACTCCTCCGACAGTGACTATGACCTGCATGGGGCTCAGCGGCTGTGACAGATGGCAGGTGACAGGTGAGGGGTCCCCAGGCCCCAGCCCGGCCCTGTCTGGGGAGGAGACAGCACCAGCACGTGTCACTTAGGTGTGACTGTCACAGAACCCCCGGGGGACACCACTGATGGTTAGGTGCTGCGGTGCCAAGGGAAAGGTCGGTGGTTTGAACTGACCCAGGGGTGCTAAGGAAGAGTCCTGGTGCTCTGCCTCTGGAGATGTCTGCTCGGACACACCCACCAGGCTACATGAGCTCAGGGCTTGACGGAGGGCTGGGTGCCGGAGTGGCCAATTAAGCTAACTGTTGTCCACCAAGTCGATCCCAACCCCTGGTGGCCTGCATGTGTCAGAGAAGAACTGGGCCCTGGGGCTTCATTCCGGTCGGATTACCAAGTCTTTCCTTCCAGGAACCTGTAGGAGGATTCGAACCTCCAACTTTTCAGCTAGCAGCTGGGCATGTCCATCTTTGCCCCTACCCCCACCCCACGGTCTCCAGCAATTGGAGGCGACTGGAGAGGTCGCTTGCTTTCAGAACCACCTCTTACTAAGCTCTATCTCGTAGTGCGCCCTCCCCACCCGATCCCTTACCCCCAGCACCCCGTGATGGGAGAAAGCCCTTCAGGAGCTGCCCACCTCCCAAGAGGGAAGACAACCCCCTCCGACTGTCCCTGAGGCCTAGTCGAAGGTCTGCACCTGTCCCCACCTCTCTGGGTCTTCCCCCGACCCCAAGGGGGTCTCTCTTGACGCCTGTCTCCTCTCACCCCCGCAGAACGGGAACCAGAAGACACCCCGGAGCCAAGCCCACTTGTCCTCCTCCTTCTCCCAGGAAATGACGGCTGGTTCCCAGCTCAGCCAGAACACAGAACAGGGGAGTCCCACCCTGGCATGGCCAGCCTGACGGTGGGCGCTGTGCAAAGGTGGAGCCCAGAAACAAGCAGCCTCTCAAATGGAGACACAAGGGTGCCCAGAGGGCCGAGCGGACCAGCAGCGTCACCTGTGCCCTCCCCAACCCACCTCCGCCAAGTGGGCTCTGGCTCTCAGACTCAGGGGGAAGCTCGGGCTGGGGGCGCAGGGAGCCGAGGCTGCTCTAATGTGTTTTTATTATGTCCTTGTAAATAATGCGTTTTCCACTCTCTGAGAGCTGCTGCGCCCCGCCCCTTCAGTCCCTGTGGGAGGGGTGCCCTGGGGCAACTCTGGGCCCCTTGGGGTTGGAGGGCTGCAGACATGAGCACAGCCAGGTCGGCGCCTGCAGAGCAGCCGCGGAGGGTGAGGGGTGCCCACAGCACCCCGCCCCATCCTGTGCAGGGTAGAACTGCCCCTTGTGGGCTTCCCTTGACTGTCCACCTTCATGGGAGGGAGTAGAAAGCCTCACCTTACCCCCGCAGAGCAGCTGGTGGATTCCAACCGCTGGCCTGGGGATTGGGGGCCCAACGTGTGACCCGAGACACCACCAGGGCTCCTAAGTTCTGTTAAGTTTACTGCAAACGTGGCCTCTTCTAAGCAGAGCTGGCCTTCTAACCTGACCATCACGGATGGGTTGGCTGGCTGTGTCCCTTGAGTGTGATCGCCTCCGCTGTGTCGTCTACTGCTTGGAGGTGCCAGAAAACCAAATGGTAGGGACCCTGGGAGTCCGTCTCGGTGGGGAGAACTGCTCCCCAGGGCTTGCTCGGCGGCGGTCATCATGGTAACAGACTGCCAGGCCTTTCTTCTGCGGTGCTGTCAGCCTCTCTCTAGGGCAGTCATGGTAACAGACTGCCAGGCCTTTCTTCTGCGGTGCTGTCAGCCTCTCTCTGGGGCACACCAGTTGGCAGGTAGTTCCAGCATGAGAGGAGGCTGGCTAACTAGGCCCTCGTGGGGGGTGGGGGTTGGGGGGTCTGACAGAGAGAGGCTGGGCCGGGGTCACCAAGTCCTTGGGTATCAGTCCTCCAGGACGCAGGGCCTCCACACTGACGCTTGGGCACAGGAGACCGTGAGGAAGGCGCAGGACCTGGCGTGCTTCGTTGGGTTGTGCACACGGTTGCTGTCAATGGGAGCCAATGGCTGGCACCTCACAGCAAACAGTAGTATCTCTGTAGCCACAAACACCGTGGTCCAGGCCACAGACAGCAACTCTGGAACCAACCGAAGGGGGTTTCTGGAGGGAGATGGGGTCTCCTACAGTGGGGGTGGGGGTGGGGGTGCTGGAGACTTCGGGCCCACAGCATGGGCAGTTGGCTCACCGACAGAGACGGGCCAGCACTGTTGCCTGCAAACACCCCGGAGGATGAGCCCAGATCAGCGCCCTGGGAGCCCAGAAGCAGTAAAACCATTTGCTCCTCTGTCCTAGCAGGGCACAGGGGTAGCTGGAAAGGGACACTGGGAGGACAAAGGAGGCAAGGTGACACACAGCTCCTGCCCGCACCTTCCTCTCAAAGAGCCTTTTTATGGATGGTCACCCAGCAGTGGCGTGAAAGCAATCGAGGCCCGCATTAAAAAACAAACCAGCACACAGAGAGAGAGAGAGAGAAGAGAGCACTTAGCCAAGGAGAAGAGCTGCTTGTTTTCCAGGGGTTGTAGGATTGACTGAGGCGCTGCAAAGAAGGTGTTTGGCTGAGCTACTGAGTAAGCCAGACTGCTGGCTCACAGACGTCCAGGGCTACCCCTTTCAGGAAGCAGATCACCTCTGGGTGCCTCTGAACCACCACTTTGGGGTTGGAGGAGGGGAGTAGTCAAGTGCTTAACTGTTTGCACCACTGACCTTAACTGGTAGGTCCAGCCCCAGGCCACTGGTCAGCACCTGTCCATCACCCCCCACCATCACCCATCCCACCTCTGGACCCTGGTCTGGCTTTGGGACGGAATATATCCTGTCCCAGCAATTCCTTTGCCTAATCCTGCTGTAGGCCTCAGAGCTCTGCCTGGGCGGAATTTCGGAATGGCCACTGCAGGCCCCAACTTTGTCTCGGGGTTCTTCCCTGGGCCCACTGCAACCCCAAACCAAACCCACGGCCCTCGAGCCGACTCGGCCCCATCACAGCCTCCTACAGAGAGACGCCAGCCTCGTCTTTTTCAACCAGAGTAGCTGGTGGGCTTGAACCGATGGCCCTGCCATCAGCAGCCCGAGGCCTAGCCCACAGCGCCCCTGGGGCACCCTCACTGCCATCCAAGTTGCTGCAGACTGGCGGCCCTGAAACCGCCTTTCACATCCGGGTGCGCCACTGTGCTGTGGTTCAGGCTGCCATTGTATCCGGGTCAATGAAGGCGGGGCAGACGCCCTGTCACCCCGGAAGACAACAGGGGCGACCCCAGAGTCACATGTCACTCCCACACACACTTGCTCCTGGGGGCCTGACCAAGTGGCCCATTCTGAGAAAACTGCCTTCCCGCTCCCTCTGTTGGGCCCTGGGTCACTGAGAAGTCAGATGGGAAAGATGCTGCTATCCACCCCACCCCTCCCCTCCCCGGACCCCACCCCTGGCCCAAAGATGCCCTCAGAGTTATGCATCAAAGACACCACCATTTTAGAGACCAGAGGACCTGAGTGGACCGGCCTAGGGGTGGGTGGCCTAGGGGGAGTGTCACGTGTCTGCTGTCTCATCTATCTGACTTCGGATGTCTTAAAACCTTGAGTTAGTTTTTAACACTTAACAATTAGGCAGTTTCCCTACATGCTTCTCGCCTTCCCTGGGGGAAGGCTTCACAAGGACTGCACAGGCCCGGGAGCACATTCCTGTGGCCAGAGACCAGCAGGGCAGTGCCCTGGCCTCCACGCCCCTACAATCTGTCCCCGCCTGACCTGGAGTCATTCTGGGTGCAGCCCCTGACCCTAGCCTGTCATCCAGTCCCACTGGGGAAATGGAAGATCAGAACCGACCTCACTGGCCATCCAAATCCCAGGATCCAAGAGCTGGGAACTCAGTTGGAAGATGGAATCAGTGTTATCTGATAGCTGAGAGACTGGGTCAAAGGGCTGGGCCCCAACCAACAGGGATTGCAACACAAGGCTGTCACCTGATACATGGAGTCTGACCTGTGGTCAGCATGGTGACTCAGGAGACAGGGCAAGGAGGGCATGGGGTGCCCAGCCTCCTCCTACTCCGAGCTGTGCTCTGGGCTGTGTGGTCCGTAGTGTGACTGGGGAGTGCAAGGCACAAGAGTGAGGAGTGGCCCACAGAGGAGGCAACCCCTAATAAAATCCTTTCTCCTGGCACCCCCCTGCCTCAGCCTGGGGCCCCGTGTGCAGGCAGGAACCAGGAGAGGCAGGGGCCATGAGCTCTCCAGTCCTGAGGGTTCCTTTAGCTGCATCGCAGTGAGCCCAGCCCCAGCTACCTCCTGGCTGTGCTGCTCAGAGCCGTGGTGCCGGGCTGCGGGGCGACCCGACCCGTCAGAGCAAGCACCTGGACGACCCGCTACGGTTCCGTGGGATGCAGGAGCCCAAGTGACCAGCAGGTGGCAGGGATGTGTCATCATACAAGCAGGCCCCGGGGCCGGGTGACCCCTAGCGGGCCCGTGTGGCATGGAACGCACCAGCTCTGGGGGATGCGGGCTCTTGGTGACCCTACAGGGCAGGTGGGGCTGCCCCGGTGGGTTTCAGACTGTTGAACCCTTTACGGGAGTGGGAATAGAAAGTCCCATCTTTCTCCCACAGAGCAGCTGGTAATTTCCAACTACCAGCCTTGGGGACTGCAGGCCAACTGGTAACCAGTGCAAGGCAGACGCACAGGCTCAGGCGTGATGATGCAAAAAAGGAGAGCCCAGAGCAAACTCCCGAGAAAGACGAGGCTTTCTCCTCCCATAATTACAGTCTCCAAACCCACGGGGCGGTTCTACCCGTCCCAGAGAGTTGCCCTGAGCTGATGTGACTTGATGGCAGCGAGTTCGGTTTGATTTAGGGGGGGGAGTGGGAGGGGGTCTGACTCCCAGTGAGCCCACCATGCAGGGAAGAACCGCTCCTTAGGGTTTCCCAGACCACATCTTCACGGGAGCACACAGGGTCACCTCCCCAGCTGGCGCGTTTGAACTGCTGACCTGTCAGTCAGCGGCCCATCACTTAACCCTCTGTACCACCCAGGCTTTTAAAAAGGGAAGCGGAACCAGAAATGCTGTTAGGAGCAAGGCAGGTACTGGAGCCGAGGGGCCGGACAGGAGGGATCCATGGCCTCCCCCACGCCCCCAACACACGCACACAGAGGCACACACGCAACAGCCACATCTGACTTCCCGAGCCCACTGGAACTACAACAGGGCCCTGAACTCACCACCGTTTATTATGGCAAATTAATCCTACAGACGTCCGGCAGCCCTGGGCTGGCGCGGCCCATTAGTGGATGCTCGTTATAAATAACTTACAAGAAGCAAGCCCAGTGTTCCCCATGGATGGCACCAGGGGAGGAGGGGCAGGCACCGGCTCAAGTTTGGCCCCCAGCACCCACAGCCCATCAGCCGGAGGAAGCCCAGTAGCGGGCATCTCAAGGCACAACTTTCTGGCTGGCTGCAGCTCCGGGGTCTGCCCACCTGCCACCACTCCTGGTTCCTGGTGACCCCTTGACAGGGGTAACTTACGCTTAGCGCCCTGCCCAACGTCCATCCTGAGGACAAGGGAAGCAGCAAGGCCGGCGGCAAGTGGGCGAGGGAGTTCTAGAAGCACCACCTGGAAGTCACTGTTGGGGTGGGGGTGGGGGCGGAGCTGGCCATGGGGAGGGATGACATCGGGGAACTAGCAGGTGGGCAGAGGGAGGGGCTGTCCCCAGTGAGAGGGTAGGCACTAAGGGGGTACACAGTGGGGCACGTGCATCAGACTTGGGCCTCTTAGAGTTTTGTGATGGCTTGTGGTTGAATTACGAGCAGGGCCTTCATTCTCTCGCCACTCGTCTTCCTCGCTGCTGACCGCTGCACTCTTGGGCTCCCGGGGAAGGCAGGTAGGACTGAGGGCCCAGAGCTGTGGCAGCACCCCTCCTGTGCAGGCACCGGTGATTACCATCATGCAGACATCTCCCCAAGGGGCAGTGCCGAGCCTGGCAGCAGAGTCACCAACAGGTGCTCCTGGGAGGACCCATGGCCAGAAGCCAGGAAGTGCCCGTTCCAGACCGGCCCTCGGGGAGGGCTGCTTCCACTTCCACACCGCCCGGGAACTTCAGTAATGGAAGGGCCCAAGGTTGTGGTTGAGGTCTCAGTGGGGAGAGGCCAGGGGCCAGACGGGGGTCTAACAGCCAGGCCAGGGCCCCTGAGGCGGCGGGAACCCGTATGGTGGGGCAGGCCCTGGAGGATAGGGGGGCTGAGGCTGTCTGGGGAAGCTGGGAAGAGGTGCCTGAGTGGGGTATGGGGGCTTTCCTCCTGTGGACAGGTAGGGGGGTTGCTGCTGAGGATAACCAGGACTGGGGGCCCGGCCTCCAGCCAAGGGGTACCCTGGGCCAGAAACAGAGCTGCCAGCCGGGGCCATGGGAAAGCCCGGCTGTGGTGGTGTGCCCCTCTGTGGGGACCAGGAGTAGCCCCCCACAGGCCTGGCTCCTGGCAGGGCAGGGGGGAGCCCGGGGCCCACAGGCATGCTGTAGGAAAAGGGGGGCTGAGAGACCACAGGGAAAGGGGCCGGCGGAAGCGCGCCTTGGGCCGTGGGGCCCACAGGCATGGCAGGCGTCGGGCTGTAGGGCAGGGAGTAGGAAGGCAGGGCAAAGGGCCGGGGCTGCTCCTCGGCTGCCGGGGGCGTGGCCTGGGGGGCTGGGCGCGGTGGGGGCGGTGGTCGGGGTGGCGGGGCGTCTCCGATGGGCTCCTGGGTGGGCCTGGGCTTCCGCACCACTTCCTGGAGCTTCTCCACACGGACGCGGCGCAGGTGGGACAGTACCCTCATGGCGAAGAAGCTCTCCAGGAACGTCTCCAAGGGCACCTCACCTTCCAGGAACTTCTCAGCCATGCCCTGGTGACACGAGGACTGGTGACCACAGGGCCCGCTGGCCCCGGGCAGGGATCAGCTGCAGCTGCCCCCACAGGCCTGGCGGGGCCCACAGGCACACTGCAGGCCTTGCCCTGCATGCTCACCCTCTTCTCCGAATCCACCCCAGCTGGTGGGGTCGGGGGGTGCAGGGCCTCGTTTACTCTGGGTAAGGTGTCCTTTGTCCCTGGCTCTGGAGGACTGACCGTTAGAGGAGTTACAGTGCCTTGGTCTGGGATTTCCAGGACACACTTGAGGCTCCGCACAGGCTCCCCAGGGAGGCCTGTGTCAACCGGCCTCGGGCAGCAGACTTGTCCCATCATGCAAGACTGGCCACAAAGCCCTGGACCCTATGGCTCAGGGAGTTTCCTGGTTGGTGGAAGCCTCTACTCTTGGGACATGGATGCTCCATGCTGGGAACCCCCAGACATCAGCTGGATCCTGTAACAGCCTACAGTCTCGAGGACAGAACACTCGAGGTCTCACTGAATTGCCCAACACCCAGGGCAGTGCAAGTCAACAGTCAGAGAGTAAGGGTCAGGACTCCACTCTGGTGGCCCATGCTGCCTCGACAGCCCGAGGCCAGTGTCCTTTTAACCTGTGAGCTGAGCCAGCTCTGGGTGGCTAGAGTTGGGGAAAGAGGGGGCGGACGGCTGGTGACAAGGATGGAGACTTGAGGATGTCAGGACTGGGGCCGGTGACCCCTAGCGGGCCCGTGTGGCATGGAACG